TGTCAAGGGCATTTGAAGGGGATGACTTTTTAAAAATTAAGGGGTGTTTGGGTGCGTTTGTGATTGGGATGAAGAACGGGCCTTGACTTTAATTTACAAATAAATTAGGAAAAATAACCAGACTCAGCATTGCTATTGTAACCGAAAATGGCTTGAGTAAATGTAAGCCAACTTCCCTGAGAATACTTGATTAATTTCAGACCTGGGAGGAAAAATCAAGATAAGATAGGAAGTTTCCAGCTGTACTGAACGCGCAGGACCTTGGGGTTTCCAGTGCCCACAGAGCGTATCACATGACCCCTCTCTGGGCGAGCCCTTTCTCTCCAGTCCCTGCGTCTCCCTCGGCTCTGGCTCCAAGCCCACGAGAAATCTGTCTCCCAACCCGTGCTTCTAAAGCTACCAGCCTTTGCTGCCCCGATCTGAGCTAGAGGCCCACCCCCACCACAGCCCCGGAGACTGGCGACAAATAAGATCCCCAAATTTAAGATGTAGCTCAACCTTTGACCACTAGAGGTCTCCTAGAAAGCAATGACCCGTATAACCCGGTTTATCCTTTTTCAAACCAATAGACTTGTTGCACTAAGACTTGGCGAGCCTGCTCTGCTGGAGGCTGCCTTATTAATAACGCCACCCACCCCCACCGCCCGTGATGGCGCCAGGCTTGGAGGGGGATGGGGCCAGTCGGTGGCTGACCCTCAGACAGTGCTAGCTTTCTAATCCACTGATCAATCGGCAGCTCTAAGGCGACCCCCTAGAACCCCACAACTTGATCAAGCAAGAGGGGAGAGCGCCCCTAACTCAAGGTTCCCAGGTGGGCAGCGCGGAGCCCCACTGAGTTCTAACCTGAGATGGACAAGCCAAGGGACCAATGTTCAGAATCACCTACCATCAGGTGCACCAGCAGGGCAGGATCTACCGGGCTCCAGCCCCCCCATCCCCGCTCCGCCTCGCCCCGCTGGTTCCCCGCTGCCCCTCTCCCTCCTCCCTTTCGCCTCCCGATCGCCGGAGTGGCCCGAGCTTTAACTGGGGGAAGAAGATTTAGGGGTTCATTCAGCAGCACTGTTCTGATCCATGTCGTATTTTCTGGAAAAATTAGCGGCTTCTAACTGGAAGAGGAAAGAAAAAAAAAAAAAAGTGGGGGGAGGGAGCGCAGAGGGGCAGTAAGAAAGCAAACCGCCAGGTTGAATTCCCAGTCTTTATCAAGCAATTCGCTCACCGATGAAAGAAAGCTGCAGTGGCAGATTCGAGCCACATGCGGTAGTGTGTAGCAATTAGTAGATAAAATGCTGACTAAAGTGCTAAAACATGAAGTATTATTGTAGCCAAGGTCAAAAATGCTTCAGTTGTCTTTTGCAATTTGGGGGAGGGGAGACCCAGGGGTGGACAGAGAGGTCTGCATCTTCGAACGGACGCCTTCTTTCTTCAAACTGTACTTTTTTTTTACGGTCCTGTTTATTATAGTACAGGCTGCCTAATTATGTCACTGTTGGTTTTTGCAACTAACTTAATCCTCCTGATCCTTTATGAAACGATTGACAGACACTGAATAATGTGTCTACTGCTTCCCCCATCCCCCAGAGGAGTGAGAATAATTTTTAATTTTTTTTATCTTTTAAATATGCCAGATAGCTTAAAAATAGAGAGTTGGATTTTTTGGCTAATAAAACAGCAGGAATATAGGTGTGTGAGTCTAGGTTCCTGTGTGCCTGCACGAGAAAGAGCCTGGAAATAGTGATCATATAAACATATACTGCTACCCTCCCTCCTCTTTTCTGCACAGCAAGTTCCAACTACCAGCTTTTTTTTATATATAGATAGATAAATAAGGCAGTTGCTTTCATGATTATAACTGTCCTGAATGGATTGTCTTCTTACAACATTCAATCTGTTTATGAGTATTTACTTTACATTAGCCCAGGGACCCCGCACTGCAGGAGTTTGCCTCTATTCCCCTGGGTGTCGGTGTCTCAAGTCTTACATCTGCTCTGTGATTGATGGAGCCTTGAATCCACGTTATTACTCTCTCACAAGCAGAAATCAAACAGGCTATTAACTACATTACTTCAAAGAACTGTTTCAATACAATCTCCTTATCTTAATTGAAACTTTCTTTGTATGGATATTTGCAACACAGATAATTTACAGGTGCCTATCAAGCATCACATTAAAGAAAAGGTAAAATAGAGTATTTTTTGGTGGTGGGGGGAGATGGGCTAAACACCATTGTGATCTGTAATTTTAAAAGCTGTTCACAGTATTGGACATGGGATTTGATTTATTAGATTTATTATGTTCATGGAAGTGGGGGTCGAGGTGCTGTAAAAAGAGGGGGAAGATAGCACTGTGATTCAGTTTTGAAATTCAGCATTCATCTGATTATAAGACTGCAGATATTAAAAAATATTCATACCTAGATCCCTGCAATTGTTGATATCTCAAAAAACCTTATCGGAGAGATTAGACAGTGAGCAGCCTGATTTGGTGCCTACCTAGAAGAGACATAGAAACAGGGTTTCTAATTAGATGAAACCCATTACAGACGCTTGGAGACATACAGCACTAAAGACAGCTGAAGTTGCTTAGATGCTGTAAAGAGCTGTGTCTTTTTAAAGAGAGAGATTTAATGTACAATTGAGGGACACCCTCAGGCATTCTGTTGAGGTTTCCTGCATAAATGCTGCTGCATTGGTCATACAGGAAACTGACTCAGAGTGGATCTCAAATAAGATCTTGTCAAAATACTGCAACTCAAGTTTTTTTAATATAGGATTTCTTGAACTGGATGTATATATTTACCCTAATAGGACAGAGACTAACAGAAGCCTTAGGCATATCGTATCAATTTTTTTGGAAGAAAAAAAAAAAACGTAGAATGCCCTTCAGTCAAGTCCATTCATATGTTAAAAATGAGCAAAATGGGTTATTCTAATCAAATGTCTGCAGTATGCATCATAAAAGTTAGAGAGAGAGAGGGAGAGGCGGAGAGGCGCAAGAGAGCTGTTATTTCTCTTTGTAACCCATGTTTATAAAATAGGAAGATCAGATGAAATTTCAAGGAAGATAATTAAAGAGTGATGTGCAAGTCATAATTTGGCTAATGCAAAAGATGGAAGACTGTGAATTGTTACATTGTCGTCGTCTTCCATGGTGCAGAGTTGTGATATTACTTTAAATTATTAAAATAGTTTCGACAGCTTTCAGAATACCGGCTCTTTGGCATGGGCTTTTATTACTTATTGTAATTGGAAGATCTGCCATTTTCTTTCGTTTATCTCTGTGTGTATAGAAATGAGATAGATCTTGCCTTTTATTACTTCCCCATGTTCTGAATCAAAAATGTGGTTTAGATAATGTTAAGTGCCCTAATTCTTACTGCAGCGGAGGCAGACGTTATGAAAAGGCATAAAAATACACACAGAGGGTCTTTCCACCTCAAGTCACTGAATATGAGGCATTTGTGCTCTGCCGGGTGTATTAACTTCAGCCATGTGAATATAATTTTCATTAAAGTAATCCTGTTTCAACTAGATGCTGTGACTAGAGGTGAAACGTTGCGAAAGCGTTAAAAATAGCTTACTAGTAATTTCAACATCCTGTAATTTTATCACAGATCAAGTTTCAACTGTCATACTATACAGACCTTATTCCCCATATAGTACATGTTTACTTTTTTAGCATGCCAGACCCACTTTGGAAAGATTGGTGCCAATATAATAAAATCCGAGGCAGGGGTGGGGGGTGTAGGGGGGAGGGAGTGTGTTGGGAGGAGTGGGAGGAGAGCGGCGAAGGGGGTGGGGGAACGTGGGGGAAGCGAGTACACCATTTTACATCAACACTGCGAAAATGCAATCTAGCCTGGCGGAGGACCGGCAGCTGGGTCGGAGCGAGCGAGGGCTTTGCAGTCTCTGCCTGTTCCTTGTTCTGTCGCTCTTAAGTTTCTCTGTGTTTGCATAATAGCCGTGCATGCAAACCTCGCAATGCTCCAGGGCTCCAGAACAATAAATATACACATTTAAAGCCTTTATTGTCTTACGGTTCATGCCCCCGGTTTTCAACAGCTTAATTTCTGGTTGTATTTAACTAGTTTGCAAATGGATTTTTTTTTCAGTTTCAAACTATTATTGAGGAAGCTCCCCTCCCTTTTTTGGCGGGGGAGGGGTTGGGGGTGGGGTAGGAGTCGGTATATTATTCCTGTAGCGCTGGGTTATATAAACACATTATCATTTGAGAGCGCCCTTGGCGTCCATCAGCATTGTAAACACGTACTAGTGTATATACTTCAAAATTAAAGAATGCACACGCAGAACCGGGAGCCTGAATTCATATTCCGAGCAGACTCGCTGCTCGCATTTATTGATTTATCATGCATCGTTTATTGTTCCAGTCCCTAAATGCAGTCGCTGTCCGTTCAATATTGTTTGCAAAATCCTGAGATGTGTGTGCATTGCTCACTTGTCTTTCTGTTATTTTTTTTGGCTTAGTATTTTTTTTGCGAAGCGAACAAATGCATTAATATTTATATGTTTATATAATCGATAACCCACTTTCCCCTCCATGTAAATAGGCATCAAAAGATAATTTAACAGATTAGTTCTCGAAAACATGGCAGTGAGGAAGCGTAATTTAACTATCAAACAAATCTACATGTCTAATAACAGCAAATCTGCTAAGGAGCATTAGAAAGAGGAGCAGCGCCCCGGAATCTCTGCAGGAAATGTTCTTTATATTAGACATATACAAGCAGGTCCTGTCAGATACACCGCAGAGCTCGCCAGCCCTCGTCTCCTCCAAAAATCTCATCCGACGATCCACGCAGACAGGCGCTTTTGGAAAGAGGGAGATCTCATCTTCCAGCAGTTTTAGGGTGGAATTTATTTTTACAAATCTTCCTAGCCGCTTTTTGCCTTGATCCATCCGCTTCCCGCCGAGATCGGACTGAGCCTTCCTTCCGATTATGAATTTGATCACCTCATCTTTGGCAGGAAAGGCACATAGTTCTGACAGGAGCTGAAAATTGAGTCGTCAGAGAAATATTAGGACATATTTTCAATCATTTTGGTGCCGAAGGGGAGGCAAGAGCTCAGTTTTATATTGAGACATTACGCCGGCTGAAGGCAGAGAATGCTTTTCCCTGCCAGGACCTGATGCAATCCATTCAAGCCAACAAGTTTGGAGAGAATGTTGAGTTCAATCAATTCAGAACGTCGAGATGGAGCCCAACTCACTCCAGGTATTTCGCTCTCCTCCGCTCCTCCGATCCCGGCACCCCCCGGCACCCCCCGGCCCCCCAGCTCACCCACACCTCTGCACCCACCCACACCCCCCACAAACTTTTCACCAAACTTTTACCCTCTACATCCACCAAAATCATTTTTATTGTTTAAAAAAAAAAAAAAAAAGCCCTGCACCGATCATACATACATAATGTAATTTCACCGCCTCAGATGGGGAGGTGGGGAGGGGAGGTGGTGGGGGGGCCTCGGAGTTTGTTTTTTTTTTTTTTTTTTTTTTTTTTTTTAGGGAGGCAGAAAATTTGTGGGCTTTATTATGTTTCCACCCAGTATTCTATCTGTGGGTTCGTCTTATTAAGAGTGTGGATGTCTGTGTATAAATGTGTCTGGGGATAGATGTTTGTGCTCTGATGGCTACATTATTTATTTGGTGCTTTTTTTTTCCCCCTGCAGTGGGTCGGCTCACCGTGTGGCTTGCACGGACCTTACATTTTCTACAAGGCTTTTCAATTCCACCTTGAAGGCAAACCAAGAATTTTGTCCCTTGGCGACTTTTTCTTTGTAAGATGTACGCCAAAGGATCCGATTTGCATAGCGGAGCTCCAGCTGTTGTGGGAAGAGAGGACCAGCCGGCAACTTTTATCCAGCTCTAAACTTTATTTCCTCCCAGAAGACACTCCCCAGGGCAGAAATAGCGACCATGGCGAGGTGGTAAACCTATCTCTCCCTCTCTTCTTTCTTTATTATCCCCCCCCCCCCCAAGTAATGCTTATTACAGGGCAAGCTTGAAAATACTGTATTCACTTCTGCAGGCGAGCAGGATCGACTGTTTTTTTAAAGGGGTAGCGCCACTAGCTGGGGCTCGAGTATTTTGCCATTGTCAGAGTTTGGCTGTCAGCTTTACAAAGAGGATCCAACTGCTGATTTTAGTCAAGATCAAATAACTTGTTCGAGAAGGGTTTTGTTCAAGGGTGTGTGTGTGTGTGTGTGTGTGTGTGATCGTTCGCTCTCCGGCTACTGCCGCTGGAACATCACATGCTTTTTGTATTTCTTTTTTTTTTTTCTTTTTCTTTTTGCCTTTTGAAAATTTTTTACCTTCGAGTCTGACTCGATCGGGGCCCGGTGGATTTCTTTCGGTGGGTTTCGATATTGTTCACCTTTTTTTTTTTTTTTTTAAGTAAGTATTTGATATGTTTAAGAGGGCGGAAATTACGAAATGGAGGCAGAATGAGATCAAAAGCTATTGAGTTGGCAAAGACGTGTTGAATAAAGTGATAAATGACAGGTACTGGAATAATACATTCAAATAACTTGCAGATCTGCCCGGGCGGATTTCAAAGCGGTCGTGTAACCGGCACAAACACGTTAAGCATTAACAACTATCTCTCGCCCACTCCCCCTCCCCCCGACAAGCCATTTGATGTTGGAGTTTTCAATTACTCCACGCACCGGGGCCGTCTTCCAGCGCGATCGCGGGGGGTGTGCGGGGAGAGGCAGGGCCGAGGGGTGTGTGCTCGCCCCCTGGCCCCCGGCCCCGGCGCCCTCCGAGCCCAGACGGCGCTCCGGGGGAGGGCGGGGAGGGACCCAGCCTGCCCGGCACGTTTCCCCGCCGCGCTGCCCGAGGACGCGGGAGGTGAGCCCGCTGTCACCGGGCGCCGGCTCCGGCGTGTCCTGTGTGACCGCAGTTCTGCGGGCTCCCGGTGTGGGCCGGCCGACCGCAGCGCCGCGGTCCCCCCGCCGGGGGAACTATTTTGGGGAGTCGTGCCCGCGGCGCGGCGGGGAGGGGCGGGCGCACGGCCGCCTGGCAAGGCTTTTGTGTTGCCACAGCGAGAGCAGGGTAATCAAACTGAGACTTTTGAGGGCAGCGAGCTCTGGTGCCAGGCTCTCGAGCTTTCGAGGTAGGCGTCAGGAGCTCTGTGGGAAATGAATGGTGCCCCGATGCACTCCTCCCGGGGCTCCGAGCCGCCGGTCCTCGCAGGTTTCCCGGGGCTCGTGGAGTTGGTGGTACTTTGGGCATCGTCGGTTCACTCCCCCTTCCCAGGATCGAGTTACCCTTCAGTGGTCTACGCCGCCTAATTACCGGAGTTCGCCAAATCGCTCGCCCCCGAATCTGCCTTTTCGGAGATAAGCCCCTCCCACCTCCCCGCCCCCCCCCCCCCGGCTCCCCGCCGCCCTCCCGCACCCCCCCTTCCCCACTCCCCGCCGCCTTTCCCGGCCAGCTTGGGGTTTTAAACGTTCATATTTCCCGACGTCCGCCTGCAATTTTACAAACGTGTTGTTTAGCAATACTGTGAAAAATCCGGCAACCTACCAACAGGTTGAGCTCCGTCCCCCTCCCAAGGTCTCGCTCGGCCCCTCCCCCGACCAACTTTCCTGCGCAGCTGTCTTCCTCCCCCTCCCCCTCCTGATTTCTTATTATTTGCTTTTCAAATTTATTACTTCAGCATGGCCTGTGATCTGGAAAAGGGAAGGATTAAATATCCAGAAAAGAGCTGGTGCCTAATAGACTTCTGACTAAACCCAGGAGGAAATTATTTAGTGTTTTATGGGATATTTTGTGGTCATTCCTTTTTTTTTTAAATTGGAATATTTTTAAAGACCCCACATTGACCCCACGTGGTCTAATTTTAATTTCTGTTGGTGTAATTAAATAGTGGATTCTGATTGAAGAATAAAAGCCATATTCTCCTAAGATTTCATCTTCTACAACTGTTGACAGTGAATAGATATATTTTTAAATACACGATTTCTTTTTAATTGTTCATTACGGGGAATTGACAGCGAACCATTGTAATGATCTGTGCGTTTTGTCACTGCTGTATGAGCCATACCTGAGAAGATTAATCTTGCCATTTAAAAGTAAACTCTAGGGGGTTTGTGGAGGGAGATGGCTCTATTTATAATCCTCAGCTGCATATACATCGGCTAATATTATGCATGATTTGTTTTTTAATGCTAACACGGCTGGTAATTAGCTGTATGATTATACTTGTATATTTCATTAGGACTTTGGCTGATGTCATTGTGAATTATTCAGCCATATTAAAACAATTTTCAATTGAGATAATGACACGCCTCAAAATTATGCAAATGCCGGCTGCATTGTGCGAAATAATTGTGACAAATGTAAAACAGGTAGAAAGTTTCCCAATGCAGATCGGTTTTCCACCCTGGTGATGTCATTTCCCCCGGCCTAAGTTAGTCATTCATTAGCAGCGAAGCAGCAGCCTTCTCTGGAGGGGAGCCCACAGAAACCAGCATTTACTGTTGGCACCTAGAGGGGGCAACAGGGCCCTGGCGTTAAGAAATTTGCTTTGTTTTCACTTACTCCATTAACTTGTTTATATACATTGAAATGATTTTTATTATTGATTTTAAATAGTTTTGAATGATGCATTTGCCGTTTGCAATGTGTAACTGAGAGAGAAAGGTTTCTTGGTGAATATGTGCTTGGAGAAAATGTTCAGCACATTTAATCAGCCAGTACAGTTTATTTTAAGTAACCAAATGGAGGTTAATAATTTCTTGATTGAGCTGACATCAGCATCCATTTCAAAAGGACAGCCAGGACTCAGAATGCTTTTTTTGGTTTAAGAGAATCATTCTGCCTTTCTTCTTCTTTTTTTTTTTTTTTTATATTTTCTTGAAAAATAAAGACGTCAGTTCTAAAAGCAGGAAAATGATCATTGTGCAAGATTAGAAATAGCATCCCTGTGTGGTTTGCTGTGATTTGCAGAACCCTTTTTGGGAATGTTTTCTCACTGATCCTTGTAGTAATAATTATATGGAGCTAGATAGGGCAGGGCTTTCTATACCCATTTTACAGATGGGAACGTAACCCTTGGAAGGGTTTTGTAGTTTGGTCAAAGGTCACAAGTCTGAACCCAGTCAGTCCTTAAACTTTAAGGCTGGTTATTTTTTTTTCCTCCCAATGAAAACCCTCCTTGAAACCAGTGTTTGAATGCATCATTCTAGAAACATGAACTCATCAGCTTTGCCAAAGGCCATCAGATATTTACATAGTAAAAGCATTCTTCTACAAACTTCACCTAATTCTAGCCAGTAAAAAGTAACATAGCAACTATATTTTAGTAATTCGTAGTCATCATTACCAACTTATCGTTAGTTTTAATAATGACGGTGATGATTTGCACGCTTACATTACATTGCTGCTGTCATATACTAATAGTGCCTGTGACCAGTGCTGAAGAGAAGCGTTTCTGGAAGCAACACGTTTTCATACTACCACTGTTTGACCTTGAACAGTCATAAATGCTTTGAGTCTCGGTTTCTTCAGCTGTAAAGTGGGAGCGATTGTAAGGATGTCTGTGGCTTTTTGTGGACATCAAGGGGCATTATAGAGGCAAAAGCACTTTATATATGTAAAATGCTTAAGTAAATAGAACACAGTTATGATTATAGTGGTCATTGCTCTAGATAGTCTTAACTTAATAGACAGTCGTAAAACATAACTTTTTGGGTCTCTGTGGAAATTCTTGGACCCAATCGTGATCCTGTCTTAAATTACCATGAAAGTGAATAGCAGGACCATGTGCAAGGACTTAAGTGCCTTCAGTAATTACCCACAATTGCCACATTCAGCCAGGAGCTCTTCAGAGCAGGAAAATGGCAAAATAGGTGGGTAATTGGTTCTGTTACTGGGTAACTTCTGATTATATTCATTTTCAAATTGCCAAGTGCTTAATCTATTGGCAGTATACCCACTTGAAAAGGTAGATGTACAAGCTTGGATTTCAGCCTGACTAGCCATGGCTTGGGTTTTATGAGAAGATTTGCTGGTTACCTGCAACTGTGAGTATGGATGGCTCATCTAAGGATGGCACAGAGGGAAGATCAAGCAGTCCTGGCTGTTAGAGATTCCAGCACACATTCAGGATCTCGCAAAATAGTTTGGCTATCACCACCCTAACCGTTTCAGTTAAAAATGGCTAAAAATGCATATTCCAGGGCCCCTATTAAGATCAACTCAGTTTATTCAGGGTCCAGGATTCTGAATTTTAATATTTTATTTGTAAAACTCATTTTTTTTGAAATTTGCAATTTGAAAGACCGGGAAGGAAGGAAGGAGGTAGGGAGAGGGAGAGAGGGAGAGAGGGGGACAGGGAGAGAGGGAAAGAGGGAGAGAGGGGGAGGGAGGAGAGGGGAAGAGGGGGAGAGGAGGAAAGGGAGAGAGGGGGAGAGGGGAAGAGGGAGAGAGGGGGAGAGAGAGGCATCCCAGTCCATTCTCTAGTTCACTTTCCAAATGTTCTCAGTGGCTGGGATTGGACCAGGGCTGAAGCTGGGAGCCAGGAACTCAATCCAAGTCTTCCATGTGGGTGGCAGGGAACCAATCATTTGAGCCTTCACCACTGTCTCCAAGGATCTGTATCAGCGGGATGCTGAAACCAAGAGCCTGAGCAGTGAATTGAATCCAGGTGCTCCGATGTGGGACGCAGGTGACTTCACTGGGAGGCTAAATACCAGCCCCAGAATTCTGACTGTTTCAAACAGTCTGCTGTGGCTGTGTGATCCTGGGCAAGTTCTGAACTTCTGTGCCTCAGTTTTCTCATCTATAAAATGGAAATACAGTACTTTCTAGGATTGTTTTAAGGATTAAATAAGTTAGTATCTGTGATGTGCCTACAATTGAGGTTGGGATTTGGCAGGTGAATTGATAATTATTGACTGTTACTATTATCATTAATATA